CTGCTGCAGGCTGCAGTGGACAGGAGCAGCCTGCAGCCATGGATATGCACGCCAGGATGGGTCACAGCAAAGTGAACACTGAGCCCAGGGCACAGCAGAGGAGAGGAAAGGGAATTTTATTCTCCCCCAGCCCCACAAAGGTGCACAGCACATCTCCTGCAGGCACCAAAGCAGTCTGTGGGCTGAAACGCTGCACAGCCAGGGCAAGGGGCACAGCAGAGCTCAGCAAAGGGAGAAATGATCCCTGGCATAACCGGGAAACCTTCCCAGCTCAGAGAAGGGTGGCAGCAGCACAGCTCACCCCAGCAGGCCTGAAGGGGGTTGTGAAAACCATTACATGGGAGAGAAAATTAAACTGAAAATTACTTTCTCCTAAAAAGAGGGGATGAGATGATTTATGCAGCACAAAGTGGAAAAAAGGTGACATTTCAGACAGAAGTTAATTTTTTGGGTAAAAGTAAGGTCATGTGCTGTGTTGTCATTCAGATAAAACCCCCAAGTTTCCTTCCCTGTGTGGGAGGAAACAACATCAACCCACAGCAGATGCAGGAGAAGTGCCTGAAAAGCCAAAGCACTACCACGCTGGAACAAAGCTCTGTATTTTTAAAAAAACATTTCATTTCTGATACAGATTCTGTTTAAAATGAAAAAAACCCCTTTTCCTATGGTATTTTCCCCAGAATGCAAACAATTTCACTAAAAGGATTTCACAAACCTTCTGGAATTTTAAGCCATTACTCCTGATACCATCACTGAACAGGACTTGTTTCCTAACCAAGAATGAGGAGGTGGAAAGGAAATCAAAGGATCACTAGAGAATCAGCCCTTCCTTCAGAATATTTGCATTTTGGTACCTCCTTCCCTTCCCTCCCCAGCCCTAGAGCCCATGGGCATTGCATTTACACCCCCCTAGAGCAGCAGATCCCCAGCACTGCCAAAGTCTTTAAATAAAGTGGATTTTATCCATATTTTTGCAGTGCTCCTGGGAACATGCAGCCCAGTAACAAACTGTCTTCACACCTAAACAGATTTTGGGTGGGGGAAAAAAGGAGGAGGAAACTAGAAGATATTAAGAGAAAAGAAATCACGGAGTGAAAAATCTCCTGTACCAGAAGGAATATATTTTTATATATATATCCCATCTATATTTAAAGTAGCCAGGAGAGAATCCCGATAATCTTTTAGTTTATTTTCACCAAGAAAAGATTGTCTGTCTAGTCTTTGCTGAATTCTTAAAAAAATATCCACAACCCTGGTCTCAGGAGAGAGAATCCTTTTATTTGTGAGGGTTTTCTGTTTGTTTTAAGCAGCCTTCCCATCTGAGTCAAACTGTTGTGGCAGGAGGGACATTTGCATTCCTGTCCACATTTGCTGGAGCCAGAGCTCACATCTCTGCAGAATAAACAGCCCCTTGTGATGCACTGAGCCCTCTGCTCCGTGTGCCCCTCGTGCCGGGGGTCCTGCAGGGACCGACGGGCAGCGCCAGGACAGGAGCCCACAAACACCAGGGCTGGTGTCCAAAAAGGAGTCACAGCATCCTGTAACCCTGTCTGAGTACAGGGAGAGCACACGGGCATTCTCCATGGGTCTCTCGGAGGAAATTTTGGAGGATGGAGCTTCCTTTTTATCCCAATTTTATCCCAGCCACATCTCCCTCTCTCTTTCCCCACTGCCTGAGGTGCTTGAGAGGAGCAGACCTCCCAAACCCCTAATACCCAATACCCCTTTTCATGTATAACCTCCCCTTTCCTCTCCCTGTGCCAGCCAGTGAATTTCCTATGGAATCCATGGTTCTTCCCATTATTTCTCACCTCTGTGTATCTAACTTCCCCTGCCAGCAGACCCTCAGCTGGTTTGCAAAGACAAACCCCTCTCATTCCCTTCACCCATCAGTAGGGTCCTTCCCCTGTTTCTTGTGTCTCTCAGTGCAGTTGTGCCTCGCAGCAGACCCAGATTTGTTTGTAAATAAAATCCCTGACTCCTGCAGGAGCCCTCTGGGGCTGGGGCAGCTTCTCTGGGTCCCTCTCCCAGGCACCACAAGGTAAAACCCCCACAGTACTCTTACAGAGAGACATTTCTTATTTAATGAATCCAATCCAATTGACTTTTTCCTCTGCTTTCCAAGCTGGAGTGCAATCATGAATATTTTTCACCTTGTTTTTGGAGAAAGCTTTTATACCTGCGATAACAACTGCAGGTTTTCCGTGGACTGTTTGTTCCTACAACTGGTACTTAAGGTAAAAAACCAAATGCTGCAGGAACTGCCAGGAGCAGGAGTT